TCCAGGCCTCCTTGCAGACAGCCTCCACCCTGACCATCTCTGAGTTCCCCCTCCTGGTTCCTCCACCTCCCTGCCCTGCCCTGCCCATCCCCCATCCCTCTGACCCCCCGCACTGCCCCCTCCCACTCTGTCCCCCCCCACCTTCACCAGCCCGCCTCCCTCTCCTCCTGGTTCACCTCCCCAATGGACTCCACTTTCCCATTACCTCCACTTCTCTGACCTGCTGTATCCTACCATGCTGCCCCATTTCAAGTCATTTCCACATCTGCTTTCAACCTCTCCCACTTTCAGAATCTAGGGAGTACGGCAAGAGCAAGAGACCAACAAAAGGAAGCATGTTTGCCCCTTCTCTCTCTTCATACCCTCTGCCTGCTGTCCTCTGTCTCTTCCTGCGGGCAGATCCATGTTTCCATCAGGAAAGCAATGGGCAGGAACAGGTGACCAGGGGAAACCTATAGGGCAATTCATTCCCACCTGGGGAAGCCCCGCCCACCACAGCGAGCCCCTCCTCTTCCTGAGTAGCCTAGTGGGGAGAGGCCAGGCCAGCTATTGGCTCCATCGTGGCTCAGGTCTGAAGGGACCCTTGGCAGCCCTGGGACTTTGGAAAGACCTGATTACCTTGTAAAGCCACTCCGTCTCAGGAGAGGACAGAGGCAAATGGTGACTGTTCCCCAGCAGGTCGCCCCACCGCCTTCCTCTCCTCTGCTACAAGCCTGGTTTTCAGAAAGAAGGAACTTGCGTAACCTCTGGGTCTTTTCTCCTCACAGATCACTGACATATGAGAGTCATGCAGATGCCACATGCTTGCTCAGTGTGTGTGGGGACAGGACTCCCGCCTCCACATGGAAGACAAAGATCCCCCTGGAGTCTCATCTTGTTTGCCTGTTTGTTCCACGTGGTCTCCCCTTCCCCGGCCACACCTGGCTGAACCCCAACACTCCTGGGGGAGAGGATCTTTTTCTATGGGTCCCTTTTTATCCTGCTTCCCCTCTGTATCAGGCCCAGGATTTCTGATTCAGAAAACGAGTAGCTTTGTCTACTCCTGGGAAGTTCTTCCTCTCCTCTCACTTGTATCTTGCTGCTATAAGTAATCATACTGTCCCGAGAAATTGTGGATATACCTCCCAACCTTATCCTTCTCCCCACTTCTTCAGGGTCTTCCTGGTATGTCCCAAAACCTAGGTTCAAGATCTCAGCCTTCAGAAGAGGTTTCTGGGCTCTGAGATCAACCCAGGGGCTGAGGGAGTCTGAGGATCTGCATGGGCCGCAAGGGGAAGGCAGTGGTTCCTGGGGTGAGGATGGCCCAAGAACACTTTGGAGCCTGGTGCACACAGTGGGTGTGTAATAAGTGTGACATCGCCCATTGAGAAGCTGAGCTTAGTGAGGCAAGGGAGGGTAGAGGAGAAGGAATGAGGCTGGATTGGTCTGAAGTGTCTGCTCCCCATTCTCTTCCCTCCTCCTCTGGGCCACCTGGAGAGAATATGCTCTAAGACAAGCCCTGAGCCTGGGATCCTCCCTAAGCTGATGGAAGTGTCCTCCCCTCCATCCACCTCCATCCATACCAGCTCAAGGAAGCAGGACACCCACCCTCAAGAGCCCAGCCCCTGCACCCCGACTCCACCAGTCACACACACCCTCTATTTAGCCAAGGCACCCAGGTCTCTGACCCCTCACCTTGCATGCCAGGCTGAATGCACCCATTCTGGCAGAAGCTCAGGTGACCTCTTTAATCTACCTGGGTCCCTCTAGTGAAGCTACTAGTCTTTAAGCATTAGCCAGCACCTTTAGCCACATGATTGATTAACTAACTTTTCTTTGTATATCTACAGATAATGTATTCTTTTCTAGAAGAGGGTACTGGCATTGGAAGGTGAAAAAGGAGAATGGTTCCTGTGCTGTGTCTGCCTTCAAACCACATGCAGGTCGTCCTGCCTCCTGCTTCCAGGAGCTTTGCTGCAGGTTTTCTAAAGATGTAAACAGAGACATTTAACTCTTCTTCCCATCCTTGCTTCTGTCAAAGCTCACTGCTTTCTATTAAATCAGTTTCACAAATAACCAGTTTTTTTATGTCAACTCTAGAGTTCTTCATCAGTATAATTTTCAATTCTCCTCCTTCTGGGATGGCACAAATGGAAAGTCACACTTGGAAGCAAAGAAGTAAATAAAATGTCTTCTCTTAGTATCTCCCATGAGGGGTTCTAGGAGAGAGGAGGTGGTTACATGAGTGGTGTGCATACAAGGGCAGCTGTGTATTAGGCTAGAATGTAAAAGACAGAAGGGGATTGCATTGTGGCTGCTGTTTCTCTTTCTCTGCAAATCTCTTCTGATTGTAGCAGATTTATAGAGGCTCCAAGTAGCCCAGTGTCTTAGGCATATTCCCAGAAAGAAAACTCAATTAGGACCTCCTGTGAGGTAATGAAAATAAATATCAAGGTTTGGTATAAACACACCAATGTTGGCCAGGGATGCCAGGCAGCTAGTTCCTTATAGCTTGTTGACCACCTTGAGGATTTGTGCATGCACACTCATATACACACTCACCATACTCAAAAGGTCTACTAAATATGCTCACTTTTATAGACCTACTGAGATAAATGGATCCCAGTCATTGGTGCATATTTCCACTCCAATTTAATATAGTAAGCACATACACATAGCTCTCAATGAGATGCTTCATGAATATAGTTATTTAGCCTTCTGCCTCTCTGAGCTCCTGACTCAGAGTGGGGCATGGTGAAGGTGACTGTGTGAATGGTGAGTATAAGCTTCCATGCGTTATGCATGTTCTGAGGCCCACTCTTATAGCCAAGGCTCAAGTTACACAGCTTGCTCAGTTTGTTCTGAACACTGCTTCCTTTTCTTGTGCTTTTCCTTGTGTTGGTCTCTCTGCCTACAGTCTCTCCCTGCTGCCCATTTGTGCAAAATCCTGTCTGTCCTTGGAGAGAGCCAACCCAGATGCCATTCCTCTACCAATTCTTCTCTAATTTCACCAATCAACTCTCATCCATGTGCCAACCCTATGTGATCATCCTCCCCTTTTAATTCCCAGGCCAGTTTATTTTTATATTACTTATGATACCATACTCTGTTTTGTGTTACAGCTATGTTTTGTCTCTTGTATTAGAATGTAAGCAGCTTAAGGGCAGAGGTCATATTTCATCTCTTTTTCTTTTGTCTTTTTCCAGTTTCTTTTATTTTTTATTTGAAATATTAATTAACATACAGTGTTGTTATAGAACTCTCAGGTGTAGAATATAATGATTCAAAAATTCTATAACTTTCTCAATGTGCATTGAGATAAGCACACTCTTAATTCCTTTTGTCTATTCCACCCACCCATCCACCTATCTCCCCTTTGGAAACCACCAGTTTATTCCTGGTATTTAAGAGTCTGGTTGTGGTGTGTTGCCTTTTTTTTTTTTTTTTTTTTTTTTTTTTTTTTTTTTTTTTTTTTTTTTTTTTTTTTTTTTTTTTTTTTTAACATATGGTATTTGTCTTCCTGGGACTAATCTATTTTNATTGAGATAAGCACACTCTTAATTCCTTTTGTCTATTCCACCCACCCATCCACCTATCTCCCCTTTGGAAACCACCAGTTTATTCCTGGTATTTAAGAGTCTGGTTGGATTCTTTTTTTTTTTTTTTTTTTTTTTTTTTTTTTTGCTTTGTTTGCTTGTTTTATTTCTTAAATACTACACGTGTTGAAAACATATGGTATTTGTCTTCCTGGGACTAATCTATTTTACTTAGCATTATACCCTCTATGTCTATTCTTTTTGTTACAAATAGAATATTTTCATTATTTTTTATTACTCAATTATATTCCAGTGTGTGTGTGTGTGTGTGTGTGTGTATGTGTGTATGTGTGTGTGTGTGTGTGTATTGCATTTTCCTTATCCATTAGTCTTTCAGAGGATACCTGGGTTGCTACCTTGTTCTAGCTATTGTAACTGTACTACAATAAACACAGAGGTGCATATATCTTTTCAAATTCATGCAACTAAAACTTTTGCACAGCAAAGGAAACCATCATCAAAACAAAACAGCAAGCTAATTAATAATAGAAGATATTTACAAAAATGCATCTCAAAAGGGATTAATATCTAAAATACATAAAGAACATACTTAACTGTACACAAGGAAAAGAAATAATCCAATTGAAAAATGAGCAGGGGACCTGAATAGATATTTTTCCAATGTCTGTTGGAAGACATACAGATGGCCAATAGACACATGAATAGATGCTCACCATTGCTAAGCATCAGGGAAATGGATGTTAAAAATCACAATGATATATCGCTTTACACCTGTCAGGATAGAAACAATCAAAAAGACAAGAAATAACAAGTGTTGGCAAGGATGTGGAAAAAAAGGAACCTTCATGCACTGTGGGTGAAATGTAAATAGGTGCAGCCACTATGGAAAACAGTATGCTTGTTCCTCAACAAATTCAAAATAGAACTGCCATATGATCCAGTATTTCCCTTGTTATGTATTTATCTTAATAAAAATACTTTCCCTAGTTTCTTTTAATAATAATTTTTAATGTGTCTTTATTTTTGAGAGAGAGGGTAGTGAGGGACAAGGAGCAGGGGAGAGAGAGAATCCCAAGCAGGCCCCACACTGTCATCACAGAGCCCGACTTAGGGCTCAATCTTACAAACTGAGATCATGACCTGAGCCAAAATCAAGAATCAGTCTAAACTGACTGAGCCACCCAGAAGCCCCAGTGAAAATTGTTTTAAAAGCAGTGAGCAGACACAACTAAAAAGTAGAAAGTTAAAAAAGCAAACAAACAAACAAAATCCCTCACTCCACAATAAATATAGAGCTCTATTAGTGTTCTCCCACATCAACATCCCATGGGAGACCTAAATTTCTATGTGCTCAAGAGTACTCTCCATTATTATGCAGAGTGACCAGAATACATTCAGGTGTGATGATATCAAACAGAATATGTACTGGCACCGCTGAGTTCAAGGTCTAGTTTTGGTCCTAACTTAAGAGGGGTTAGAGGCCAGGCTGTGCTGGATCCCATAGCTGAAGTAGATAGCAAACCCAATCAGCATCCAGACACCAACTCGGGCCCAGGTGAGAGCTGTCATCTGCATCATCAGGTAAACATTCACAAAGATGCTCAGTAGTGGGAGGACAGGCAGAGCAGGGACCTTAAAGGGAAGGGGACTGGACCTCTGTGGCTGTCTCCAGATGACCCCAGTGATCCCAGTGATGAGCACCAGGAGCAGCACAACCACGGAAATCCACACTGGGTCTCCAGAAAGCAGAACTGGTGACTGGGCCAGCACCAGACAAAGAAGAATGATCAGCAGAACAAGCAGTGAGGAGCAAACATAGACAACCCGGCCAGAGAGTGGAGTGGGGGTGGAGCTGCCTGGAAAAACTAGTTCCTGTAGAGTCAGTGTCTCTGCTGCAAGTCTATTCTCCTCTTGCACCTCTGCTTCATTTCCCTCTTTCTGCATCTCAGGCTGATATCGGAGGATGAGAACACTAAATGCCACCAGGGAGTAAGTAAGCAGGGTAACAATTAACCTGAAGTCCACAAGATCAGTGAGTACAAGAAAGAAGGCCATGATTAATGCGATAATGCCAAAGATCACAGTGGCCACAATGTGGGTGTATGTGCCAGTATGGATCTTGGCAAGGACAGGGAATAGGAGGCCATCCTTTGCCATCATGTATATTAGCTGACGTATGGGGAGCATATAGCCCAAGAGGCTGGCAGAAAGACTACAGAAAAATCCAAAAGTTACAACATAGTAGGCAGGGGCCCAGCCAATATGAAGAAATGCCTCAGGCAAGGTGCTCCCTCGTTGAATCTTGTAGTAAGGCACCATAAGCGTAAGTGCTGCAGAGACACCAAAATACATCAAAGAGCTGATGAACAGTGAAATCACAATGCCCATGGGAATGGAACGCTGGGGATTCTGGACTTCTTCGACTCTGGTAACAATATTGTCAAAACCAATAAATGCATAGAAACAGGTAGCTGTTCCACGGAGAATCCCCTTAAAGCCAAAAGGCACAAATCCTCCAGACTCCAGAGTCCCCAAGATAGAGGTATCATTGAGTCCAGCCTTTACATAGTCCTCTTCTGTGAGCTTCCAGTTGTGCAGGTCCCCTTTAATGAAGCCAGAGATGATGAAGAAAACAAGAACCAAAATTTTCAGCAGTGTGAACACTTTGGTAACCAGGAAAATCTCACTATTCCTGAAAGTCAGCAATCCAATGAATAACAACACAAGGCCCAAAACAAAGAAGTCTAAATATTGTACAAAGACATTGGGAATGTGGGGTGAGATATTTTCACGCAGGGTCTGAAAGATCTCATTCCCAGGTAGGTTGTCAAAAGCTAAGGTCCAGGCACAGGCCACAATAGCTGTACCAGCAACAAAGAACAGAATGAGGTTCCAGCCAGTGATGAAAGCCCAGAGTTCACCTATAGTGACATAGCTGTAGAGATACGCAGAGCCAGAATAGGGAACCCGGGCACCAAACTCTGCAAAGCACAGCCCAGCCAACACAGAAGATAGGCCAGCCATCAAAAAGCAGATCATAGCAGATGGTCCTGCTTGATTGCTGGCCACCTCACCAGCCAGCACATACACACCTACACCCACTGTGTGGCCCAAACCCAGGGCCACTAAATCCAAAGTGTTCAGGCTTCTTGTAGGGGGAGTTTCAGCCATGTCTTGCTGCGGGTTACGTCTACGTATCAGCTTTTGACCAAATCTCTGAAGTGTCTGGCACAGCATTGTTGCTGGAACTGAAGAGGATCCTAGGATCAGCACTGTAGCAAGCTGAGAAATCCAAGAGTCTCAGATCAGATTCCGTGAGGCTAGTTAAGCCTAGTTGGGTTGGGGCTGCTGAGTTCTCTTGCTCAGGCTTCAAATCTGCTGCTTCATCTTCATCAGGTATGTGCTATCCTTCCATAATGCCTAGTAAATGATAAATACTTAGTGAACAATGATGTTCAACCAATAAATCAAAGTTCAGAAGTTTCATGTCACTTGTTGCAGCCCAAATATCACAGAAACTGATACCAAAGGACATCATAGAAAAATTATCCTTGCTTTCCCCAAGAAAAAGTGCAAAATACCTCCCCACATGCTTTTTTTTTAAATAAACTACATGATATAATCCAATTGGGTTCATCTAGCACATAGCTTCATGTACTAATTCAGCTGTAAGACACAAAGCAAGGTATAAATTTATTGTGCAATAATTTATACATGGGATTTTGGTATAATGCTTAAGCATGAGTTAAGACACATTAATTCATAGGCTAGAGGGCTTTGTTTCAATTACAGAATCATTTTTATAATTTTTTTTTTATTGGGTGGCCTAGGTGGCTCAGTCAGTTAAGTGTCTGACTTTTGAATTTATCTCAGGTCATGATCTCACAGTTTGTGAGATCAGGCTCTGCATTGGGCTCTGTGCTGACAGTGTGGAGCCTGGTTGGGATTCTCTCTTTCCCTCTCTCTGCTCCTCCCCTACTTATGCTCTCTCTCTCAACATAAATAAAAAAACACTTTAAAAATCTTTATAAAAATAAAATATCATCAAGTTTAAAATAGAAATAATAGTTCCCAGTCTTAAAACTGTTGGCCTCCAATCAGCTAGTCAAAGTCAGATGTCACTTTGGCCCCCTTTCTCCTCATTCTGCATCATCCATTTAGGTCTACTGATGGCAAAGAATGTACAGTCCAACCCTTCCCTTTACCCACCTAGGCCCAAAGGGATGCTGTGAGGAGAGAGGAAGAGGGAGAAAGAGACAGGGCCTTCATAACTACCTGAAAGACCAGACTGTCTGGTGAGAATATACTCAAGAAAAGGGTGCAGCAGTGCTGGGAGCTGCACCGGCCTCTCTGATGGCAGTCACAGCAAGGAAATGGCAGTGTTTGCACAGCTCCTGCCATGAGAAACGAAAACTGGTATCTCCTTCTGCTACTACTTGCTCATATTAGAAATGAGCCTGCTGGTATTGACCAGGCCTCACAATATTCCATATCAGACCCATATTCCGCACACAGATACCACATAAGGAAAAGCATATTCCTGCCTTTACAAAAGAGATTTTAGATGAGAACTCTGTGGGAGATTGTCAAAAGCCTCTTCCTATGGGCCTTGCATATCAAAGACAATTGAGCCTGGCCCCAAGACAAAGAGCCTAATTTAGAGTTTAGGAACAAACAGGGGTAGAACTTAACACGTAAGGCTTCTTCTAACTGATGACGTATGGCAGTCCCTTCCCCAAGGCATACCGTCTGCAAACACCCTCCCTTACAGGTGGCTGGGATGAGGATAGAAAAGAGTAGCTAACACATAACCCAAAAGCAAAAGGCTAACACCTTTAGGGCCCCCATGGTGTTCACACATTTAGCATCAAATAGGTTTCCACAAACTAACCAGTTCAAAAACACTCATCCTCTTGAGAGCCAAACAGAATAATTCCTAGCCTAACTATTTACGACTTAACATATATATGTCATCCTATTTTTTCATTAAGAACATCCTGTTATTTCCTTAGTTGTACAATTCAACTTCACTATGATTGAGGTAATTCTCAAAAGGCTTCCCATTGTAAAAATTCCTTTTTCTGATCTCATGTTGTTCTTGAACCTTTAAATAAAGACACCAAAACCGACAGGTCAGAGATGCCTGCCTGGTGATCAGAAAGAATCTCGGGGCTCTCTCACTCTCTCTCTCACCGACACCATCCATCCTTCAGGGACCCCTGGACCTGTCGGAGCAGGCCTCCGACACAGCAGCCAACAAGGATTCACTACCAAAAAAGGAGAAGAACTAGAAAAGCCATTTTATAAATTCTGACATTCAAGAAACTCACCCAAAGCAACCAGACAAAAATTAACTACAACTTTCATGCCCACAGTTATGAGAATATGATGGGCAGGGAGCAAAGAATTAAGTCTCTTAGCTCAGTAGCTCACAACTGAAATAATTCCTCTATCTTCTCCCTCACTGGATTCCAGATGAGAAGGTGAGCTCACTTCTGCTCACCTTGTGCTCTGTAAACATCCTGCGCCAGCAATCTGTGATGTCAGCTGCCAGCTGCTGAGAGATCCTGCCCTGCTCTGTGAGCTTGTATTAAAACATTCACTTGTAAATCCCTATTAATTTTTCACAAGGGATTTTTTTTTTGCTTGTTTGTTTTTGTTTTTCAAGTAGGCTCCATGTCCAGTATTCAGTGTGGGATTCAACATGAGGCTTGCAAGACCCTGAGATTAAGATCTGAGCCAAGATTAAGAGTCAGACTCTCAACCAATTTAGCCACCCAGGTGTCCTCACAAGAATTATTTTTAACTGGCTCAAACCATTTTCTAAGTATGTCAACAAACCCTGCATATGATTCCCCCTTCCCCCTCCTCCCTGGATGCTATTCAAATAGGCTCCTCCTCAAGGGAAGCAAGGTTTTGGGTGAGCAATTCACAACAGTGCCCCAGAAATGCATAGTGGAGAATACAGAAAACAAAGTTTTCAGCCTCCACTCTCCTCTCAGGCTTTGGTTTTGAGAGAACTTTAGAAAATTTTGGCAGAGGTTTTTAAAGATGGAAAGAACAAGTCCAATTTGAAAAGTCTTCCTTTTAGATGCTCAAAAGGAACCCTTGGGCTATGAGTCAGACATTCTGTCTACAAATCCATCTAGACTCTTTATTTCTCACCCACCAGTTCCAATGTTGTGATTTACCAACAAACATACAAGATAGATGAGGGTCAATTCTTCACTCATGGAACCTTTCTACACTGTGAATGTGACTGACATGTCCCCTACCCACCCCCAGGCTTCAAACCCTTCAGTGGTTCCCACTGTTCTTCCTTTATAATCCTTCCTTCCTTCATAGTCTGATCTGGGTTGATTTTTCCAGCCGCATCCCTGACTCCTTCCTGCTCCAGTTGTGAAATTCTACACTCACCCTGTTCCCCTGCCTTTAATGTCTTCTAGGCCCCTTCACATAGCTAACCCCCACCCTCCCACACTTTCTTTCAGTTCTTGGCTCAGAAATTGCTGCCTCAGGAAGTCTTCCTTGATGCTTATGCTGCCCTTCCTATGTGCTCTCATAGCACCGGGCTTATCCCATAGGCCATTTATCTTAATGTAGCAAAATTTCAGGTCAACTGCCTGTCTCTTCCATCTGACTGTGACTTAGGTATTTAATAAGTATTTGTTGAGCAAATGTGCAAACAGAGAAGAGAAACCCAAAAGAGCACATAATCCAGAATTCCCATCTACTTGACTTTGTTTTTTTTAATAGTTTATTGTCAAGTTGCTTTCCATGTAACACCCAGTGCTCATCCCCACAAGTGCCCTCCCCCATCTACTTGACTTTAAATACATACTTTATAGCCAAGCAACCTTTATAAACCTGGCTCGGGTAAAGATATAAATTGTACTTTATTACTATATTTCTTGCAGAAGACAATCAAAACAAAAAGTGTGGAGAGAAAACCATGGGTGATGAAACCTTAACTGCACATTATTTATGGCAGGTATGAGCCACGCATTGGTGATAATGAATTGTCGGAGGCCACGCCGGCTCCGACAGGTCCAGGGGTCCCTGAAGGTTGGATGGTGTCTGCTAAAGTGATTGAGAGAGCCCCGAGATTCTTTCTGATCACCAGGCAGGCTTCTCTGTCCTGTCGGTTTTGGTGTCTTTATTTAAAGGTTCAACAACCATATGAGGTCAGAGAAAAGGAATTTCTTACAATGAGAGGTCTTTTGTGATATCAATTGCAGAATTATCCCAGTAATGGTGAATTTACAACCAAGGAAATAACAGGATGCTCTTAGTGAAAGACAGGATAACATATAGGTTAGGTTGTATATAGATAAGCTAGGAGTCATTCTGTCTGGCTCTCAAGAGGATGAATGTTTCTGAATTGGTTTGTGTGTGGAAGTCCTCATGGGGCCCCTAAATGTGTCCATCTTGGCACCTGGGTTTATGTTTTAGCTACTCTTATCAATCCTCATCCCAGCTGCCAGTGTAAGGGAGGGTGTTTGTGGAATGTAGGCCTTGAGGAAGGGACTGCCATACATCACCAATTAGTAAGTTATGTTCTGTACTTATCTGTACTTTAACTATAAATTAGGCTCTTCTGATATGGGACCAGGCTCAATAGTGACTCTTGTGTTCTTAACCCCCTTTATTATCTAAGTCTTGGATCTGCAAGGCCCATAGGAAGAGCCTTTTGACGATCGCCCATAGAGCTTTCATCTAAAGTCTCTTTTGTAAAGGCAGGAATATGCTTTTCCTTAGGAGGTATCTGTATTCAGAATATGGGTCTGATATGGAATATTGGGAGGCCTGGTCAATACCAGCAGGCTTATATCCAACATGAGCTAATGGTAGCAGAAGGAGATACCAGTTTTCATTTCTCATGGGAGGAGCTGCAAACATTGTCACTTCCTTGCCGTGATTGCCATCCAGAGAGGCTGGCGCGGCTCCCGGCAATGAATGTTTGACTTTGAGGACACTGTTTTAAAAATAAAAGGCAGCCAACCACTCACGCCCAGTTAGAGATTATCTACTTTTCTGAAGGCATCACACTGAGACCTTATAGATGGGATGTCCTAACATAGAGGTTCTCAGTTCGGTAAACACAGGGAGGTATAATGAAGACATCTGGGGACATTTTCAAACTTCAGATCCTGTTCCTCTTGACATTCTTGTCAAACTTATTCTGTACTTCCCCTGACTGGTCTAAACCATCCAAGCTGACAAGAAATTATTCTCAA